AGAGAGAGAGAGAGAGAGAGAGAGAGAGAGAGAGAGAGAGAGAGAGAGAGAGAGAGAGAGAGAGAGAGAGAGAGAGAGAGAACCTGATATTTTGGGAGCCACCCTCTCTGACTCGAGGTCTGAGTTTCGGCTCTAGAGACGTATAAGAGGTGGAGAGATTGAGGTTGAGGAGAGACTTATTATTTGGTGTTGCCATACATTGGGTCTTCTTCTTCTTCTTCTTCCTCCCTTCCTCCATCTCCCACCTTGTACTTTGTCTGTGTGTGCAGCGGGGAGGTCTTTATATGCTTGGACACCTCCCCGGCTGGCGTGAGATCAGTGCAAGGAACATGAATATGGACGAAGCACAGAAACCCAGAATGCAAAATCACACTGAAGTCCAAGTAGTCAAAGCCAAAGCAGATAGCACAATGGAACCAAGTAACCATCCAATTGAGAATGATACAGAAGAATCGTGAGTCAATGTCCATGCCCTTCAGGGCAACACCAACAACATAACGCAATGTAGATCTCTCTCATGAATGGCGCCAGGCGCCCTATCTACTCTACAGACTAAGCCTACAACTACAGCAATGAAAGCAACTAGACAACTTGACTACCAGCGAGTGATGATGTCAACCCAATGCCRACCTCCACCTCCACCAGGTACGTGTCCTCTTCACCCACACTCTTCCCTGTTACCCACACAGCACCCTTCACCTCCGAAGTACCACCTTCGCCCTTCACCTCCACTGCGCCCACTCAGCAGCCCAGGCTATGGCCACCAGCGCCGAGGGCCCAGGCAGCGCACCACCGTATTAGCGCTGCCTGCCTGCCTTGCGCCCAAYGCAGCTTTACACAGCGCAGCACCCCCGCATTCGCGCAGCGTGCCAGCAATGCCTGCATTGGCCAAGGATCCCTGCCCACTCGCCCTGCTTGCCTATATGCCAATGCAGCGTGTGGGCGGCCTCCCTTCAGCCTGCGACCGGGACCCGAAAGGCTGAACCCAGGCCGATACAGTTGAGGCCCGGGGGATGCAGTTGCACCTCTTTTGTCAAGGCCTGCGGCCAGATTCAGATAGTGGGCCGATTTCCCTTTGGCGTTTTCGGCCTCTATACCCCGCATGCATTGTCGGCCTCACGTTCAAGTACCCAGGGCCTAACTAACTCAGAGGCCCTGGGTTTTCAGCATTTGCTGAAATCCGAGACTCGGTGCACTCCAACCAACTGGCGCGCTGCAACTGTATGGACCCCACTTCGTGAAATGTTGGCACAAAGGGCTCTTGTTGATTTGCTGGCCCGCCTTCACTTAGGGCGGGCACGAGGCTTGCTGGGGCCTTAGCCCGGAACATGTATGTTATGGCAAGGCCCCTACTTGAGGGCTCAATCCTCACATTCCATCCCCCTTAGCTTCAAAAGTCCACTGAGATGCTTACTTCGCAGGTGCCTTCCCTTTCAGTAGCCTCTCATATTCTGCCACCACCTGAGGAGCTGTCTCAATCAGTTCCTCCCTGGTAAACCACCGATCTTCTTTTGGATCCGTATGATGCCTGAATCTGACGCGGTACTCTCTCTTGGGTTTAGGAGGTCTTCCTCGACCCAGCGGCTTCGGAACAGGCATATCCCTGTGATCCACAATGTCGTCGATGTCCACTTGTCCATCCATGGTTGGGGGCAGCATCGATCTCCTGGAAGGGAATTGATCTGTCTCAGCGAAAGGTGCAAGCTTTGAGGCATGAAAGACTGGGTGAGTGCGTAGGTGTCCGGGGACACGAATGACATATGTGGGACTATCCATCTCATCTCCCACTATATCCAGGACTTCCCAGGGACCAAAGTACTGAGGCATTAGTTTGCGAGAGATTCCGAACTCCTGTCCTAACTCACTAGCCTTGACCCAGACTCGTTCTCCTACCTGAAATGTGGACTGTCTACGATGTTGATTCTCAGAAGCAATCATTGCTTGCTGAGCTTTCTTCATATGCTCGACAGTCTCTTGCAGCAACTTCTCATATTGCACACCATACTCTAGTGTGCCTGGAGTTGCAACAGGTCGGTTTTCAGGTAGGAGGAAGTCTAGTGCTGATCTAGGCTTCCATCCCAAGTGTAGCTGGTTATGACCAACGCCGGTACTGCTGTGGACAACATTGTTGTACAAGCTGGCGATGAGAGGCAACTGCTCATCCCAGTCATCCTGGCTGGGCTTGATGTAATGCCTGAGCAAGTGCTGTACAACTCTGTTCATTTGCTCGGCCTGTCCGTTTGCTTCGGGGTGATTCCCTGAAGTCATTTGAAGTTGATTGCCCATCTGTTGTGCAGTCTTCTTCCACAGCTCACTTGTGAATCAGACATCTCGGTCACTAACGATTGACTTTGGTAAACCAAAGTCAGACACCCAGTTGTCCTTGAACAACTTGATGACATAGTCAGTTCTTGCGGTCTCTGGCATGGCCACTAGCCTAGCGTACTTGGTGAATCGATCGATGATGACGAAAATGTGCCTCCTGCCACTCTTACTAGTCACCAGRGTGTCCAYGAAATCCATGGAAACACTCTGTCCTGGACCAGCAGGAATAGGCAAAGGCTTCAACAACCCAAGCGGTGCTTGAGTTCGCGGCTTGTCCCGCTGACAGACGTGACAGGTTTCTACGCACTTCTTTGCGTCATCAAACATTCGTGGCCACCAAAATCGTTGTATTAGGTTAGCACTCGTCTTTTTGTAGCCAAAGTGTCCCGTTGCGTCATGGCATTCTCCTAAAAACGAACTATGTAAAGGTTCACTGGATGGAACTACTAATCTCTTTACTCCGGCCTTATCAAGATAGAGAAGCGCGTCCACCATCACAAACTCACTTTCTGTGGCCTTGTCTTTTGCCAGAAGTTTGCGAATGATGTCCATCGTGATAGGGTCTTCTTGATAGGCTCCCACCAATGATTGAGTTACTTCTTCCGATATGCCAAAGTCAGAAACTAGCGCACCTAGATAGTCTGCTCTACGTGATAACGCATCAGCAACCCTGTTATACTCTCGCTTCAGATACTCAAGCTTGAAGTCATATTGGTCTATGACCTCAATCCATCGCTTGAGTGCGCCAGAAAGAGCCGGTTGAGTCTTGATCCATTTGAGGGTCTGATGATCCGTCCTTAGAAGAACCTTCCCAATAGGAAGTGCCTCCAATGGACAAGTGCTTTGTATAGAGCATAGAGTTCCCTTTCGTAGGTGGACTTTGCCAACTTCTTCGATGGCATCTTCTTGCTCATGTACTCAATCGGTCTCAACTTTTTCCCATCCTGTTGAGTCAGCACTGCACCAATGCCGCATTGGCTTGCGTCAATGGTCACTATGAATGGCTTCTGAGGATCGGGAACCATGAGAACTTCATGATTCATGAGTGCATGCTTCAATCGTTTGAAAGCAGTTTCGCACTCATCACTCCAGTCCCACGGTGTGTCAAGTCGAGTTAGATCAGTCGAAGGAGAGGCGACTGTAGAATAGTTCTTTACGAAGTTTCTATAGTAGCCGCACATTCCTAAGAATGATCTTACCTTAGTGATTGTCTGAGGTCGTGGCCAGTCTCGAATACTAGCCACCTTCGCATCTTGCGGCCTTATCCCTTCCGCGGATACTTCATGACCCAAGTATAGTATCTTAGTGCGACCGAATTCACACTTCTCTAAGTTGACCTTATACTTGTGTTGTCGAAGGAGTGAAAGTACCGTCTCAACATGCTGTGCATGCTCCTCGGCAGACTTACTAAAGATCAGGATGTCGTCTAAGTAGACCACGACAAACTTATCTAAATGGTCATGGAAGATCCGATTCATAGCGTGCTGGAATGAACCCGGTGCATTGCAAAGACCAAAGGGCATCACTACAAACTCATACAGGCCGTATCTGGTCTGAAAGGCTGTCTTGTGTTGGTCCTCAGGTCTTATTGCGATCTGATGATATCCGGATTTCAAGTTTATCTTACTATAGTACTTGCATCCCTGCACCCTATCCAATAGGTCGTCTATGCGAGGTAGAGGCTCTGCGTTCTTCACTGTGATGGCATTGAGGCCTCTATAGTCAATGCACATCCTCAAAGTACCCCCCTTCTTTGGTACGAATAGMACGGGTGATMCGTAAGGGGAAGTACTAGGCYGAATCCAWCCCTTCTCYGTCAGCTCCTTAAGCTGTCGCCGAAGTTCATCTAACTCGGCGGGGGCCATCCTATAGATCCTTCCCTTTGGGGTTTTACTCCCTGGAATGATTTCTATAGCGTGGACGACTTCCCTTTCAACAACTCCTGTGGGCTCTTTGAACAGATCAGGGAACTTAGCAACGACACGTTCTATCTCTGGGGGTGTTTTAACGGCCTCCCCTTTCTCAGAGACATACACAAGGTACATACCCTCCTCGTTTTGCTTATAGTAATTGTAGAACGCTGATGCGCACAAGCAGCCATAGGTATCTATAATGCTACTGGCCTTGAACTTAGTCAACCTGACAGTTCGGCCATCGGGCAACTTATGCTTAAGCACCTTCTTATCCCAGTCAAACTGGGGCTTAGCAACTTCGAGGTAGTACATGCCTAATAACATGTCAAATGGTAAGTTGTCGCTAACTAAGAACGAGATCTTATGGTTAAGTTTTCCTCCTCCATAGTAGAAGGTACAAACTACGTCCTTGATATAGTCTGTTACAATCATGCGCTCTTTGTTGGCCAAAGTAGATGCTACTGGTCTACTAAGGTGCCGTACCCGGTCCTGTAGGTGCAGCCTTTCCAAACAATCGCGACTTATGTAATTTCGCGTGGATCCGATGTCAATGAAGGCACCACATTTGCGGCCTCCTACATCCACTTCCACCACGAAATGTTCCCCTCTAGGACCTTTCTTCAGTGCCACCCAAGACTCGCGAGGGTCCTTGTTTGACCACTCACCTTCTAAGTCTTCTAAGGCCTCAGACACATCTAACGTACAGAGCATAGTTTGGTCTAGTTGTGTCTGCGGGGTGGCTAAGGAGTCATTAGCTTCGGCCTTGTCATGAAGTGGGGAGGGTATCAAGCCCACGTCATCTTGAGTAGAAGCCGCTAAAACTTCCACTGGCCTCACGCGTTTCCCGAGCTTGAAGCCTGGGAATAAGATGCCCCCATCTTTGGAGGTATCTTTTGCGTAACCTTTGCGTTCTGGCACTTGTATTGCGAGTGTCCGTATTCCCTGCAATTGATACAAGCGCCACGCACTTAGCGGTCACGCCACACGTCTTGGTCAAGACCTGCCTTCACCCATTTAGCCTGCTTGGTCTGATTGGAGACAGCCTTTCCTTGACTCCTAGGTTGGCCCTTCCCTCGGCCACCTGCCTTAGTGTTGACTACCGCGGCGAGGGTGCTACCCTCAACTATCTCCTCGCTGTCATACTCTGAATAGTCCATCAGGTCAGAGAGTTCGTCAATCTCAGCTTGAGTCCCATCAGACTCGACCATCATCAACTTTGCTCCCTTCTTCTTCCACTCCTGAGAACTCTTCTTCTTCTTTGAGTCATTCTGTGAGGTGGGTTGAGCATTACCTAGAGTGGCCTCCAAATCTAAAGCCTTCCTAGACAATGTCTCAAACGAATGGTACTCTGTGCGTGCCTCGCTGGCCAGCAAGTTCTTGATGTTCTCTGGAAGACATCTGACAAAAGTAGTCAACAGGAACTGGTCACTGGAGTTGATGCCTGGAACGAGGATCAAGCTCTCAACGGTAGTCGTAAGCTCTCTAACCGACTTGAACTTGCGTTGGTCTAGTTTGTTAATGGCATCAGTGGCCTCTTGCACCTCTTGTGGATTATGCCATCGAGCTTCTACCATTTCCATGAATTGGTCTAACGTCAGAGACCTAGCCCAGTCCGCCATGCGTCGCCCGTACCCGGCCTTTACAACTACTCCATCTAGCCACTTGGCTGCCTTACCCTCGAGGTAAGATGCCACAGTTACCACTTCGTCCTCAGGCAAGGTCCTTTTCGCCTTCACCCAAACCGGGACCGTCCTCAACCATGTGTTGAGTTCTTCATCCTTTCTCTCGCTTGAGAAGGCAAGAGGTGGTTTCATTGGGGTCTTAGGGTACCACTGACCTTGCGGCTGTCCAGATTGCTGAACAAGTTGTTGCGGTGACGTAGCAATCACCGCTGGACCCGAAGAAGAAGATGCAACAGTCTGTGCGACTGCTGCAGACGTACCACTTGGTTGTGTACCAGCTTGAACCGGAAAGGGTCCTGACATCGCCGATAACGGCAACGGCGATTGCGCTGGTGGCCTAAATCCTGGCCTTGTCAAAATGTCCACGATCTGGTCCAAAGTGCTCTGCATGAAGTCCAACCTGCTGTCCACGTGCGCATGCAGCGACAACATGTTGTTCTTCAACACTTTCAAGGGTTCAGACAAACCTGATTCATCTAATCCCTCTAACTCAGCCTTGTCAGTCTCTAACGCTTCAAGCCTGGCTGCTCTACGTTTTATCTCTCTTTCCCTTTTGGTTGCCTTTTTCAGGTCCTCCTCTAACTTCTGGCGGAGCCTCTCGACCTGTTGGATCTCTCTGAGCTCCCTCTCACGTGGGGTCAATGGGCTGAACTGCGAGCCCGCCATTTGACTAGTAGACTGTCGAGAACCCATTAAACTGGAAGTGCCCGTGGAACTTGTTGGCATTCCCAACATATTCCCATTGGTCGCAGATGAACACGCAACCGAGGATGTTGCTGCCGCAGAAGACATCTCTAATGCCCTGGCTGGTGTGGCAGCCTGTTCCCTAGCTGCGGCGTTTATTGTGGCCCTAGTTGCTGCTAGTGCACGGGCTCTACGTTCGGGTATAAGTCGTCTTTCTTCTCCCGGTTGTAGGGCCTGGAACACGTGGGGTACCCTCAGTGCTTCTGCACGTGTTAGTCTCCTATTGTCAACTCTATCATCAACAGGGTCTGACCCACTCATTAGTTAGGCAGACAATATCTGCACTAGAATCCCCTAGTGGAATCCTACCGCAGCATGTGTCTGACCGACACCTAATTTTCTAAATATAGTTGTGTTCGGCGAGTCCCCTACTGTACCGAATCAAGTGGCATGTCTACAACATTCACACAGATTGTCTACATAGTCTAGATGCACTTTGATTGGTTCACTTACAGTAGCACTAGATAGGACTGGCTATGGTAGTATACTTCAGTCCTACTCTTAGTCTGTTTGTGAGGTGTTTGCAGTCTGTCCACCAACTAATCAAGAGTACAAAATGACCATGTAAGAGATGTATGATTGATGGATATGGTTGTGTACACAGTTGAGCACCAATTGGAATCTACCCTTCCCCTCAATCCAACCATCCGGACAGCATCATTGAGCAAAGCAGTGTTTTCGTGTGTGTATCGGCCCACCCCTGTGCCCAAGTCAGAGCCGAGCAAGCCAGCCAGTCCACTCTTATTT